TCTTCATCATTATGTATTCAGACGTGATTCTAAAACTATGTTCTAGCCAGAAGTAGTAGGTTGAAGTTAAGAATCGATAGGAAAGGAACTTTAACTCAAAATTTAACTGTTAATAAAATTAACATAATCTTAACAGAGGAATTCAAGATTAGCCTAACATGCTTTCTCAGACTATTAACTTACTGGCGCACTTAATGCAATGGCCGCAAATGGCTAAACCCTAACAGCAGAAGTCATCTTTAGCCAATTCTCGCATTCCCTTTCAATCTCAAAAGCTTTGCCTTAAATGCTCTTAACTCATTTGCATCCTAAACATGTTTACTTACTAACTTATTAACATTCGGGTGAGGAAGGGGAAAATAGAATTGACAGTACAGGCTGAAATAATACATAACAGGATAGTATTTTCTCCTCCTTCCAGCATGCTTTCCTGGTGTAACGGTTGATACACTCGGCACATATTCGAGAGGTTCAAGTTAGAGTCTCGCGAACGCATTGCTGATTTTTCACGTCTCCAGCAGGGCGCCTGAATTAAAAAAAGGTGGTGGATGATTATTCTTCTCCACCAAGATTTGATGACTAGGTTCCCTAATACCCAGTCGTCTTTAAAAGTGGGAATATATAAGGTATTTTCTCCCTTCTTCCAGAATGCCTTTGTGGTGTAATGGTTAGTACAATCGGCTCATATTCAAGAAGTCCAGGCTCGAGGAGTCTGGAAGAGAGCATTGCTTATTTTTCATATCTCCTGCATAAAAAAAAAAAAAAAAAAAAAAAAAAACCTGATGAATCTACAGTAAGAAATAAAGATCCATAAAGTATAAAATTCTATATTTAATTCAACTTGGCTTAGTCTAGACGAGTGATTCTCAACAGTTTTTCCCTCATGTGCCCTCTTTACCATTGCTAAACGATCATTCAACCTCTCCTTCCCAAAACTTGAAAAGTACATAGCGTTTGTTTAAATATGGATTATTTTTTAATGTAAATTGAACAAGTATAATACATATTGGTAAATACCAAAATTTGAATAAAAGTGCTTTTTTATATCCATAAACTAAATTTAAATACTTAATACATAAAGAAAAGGTTGACTAAATTTCTCTCTGAAATTATGAAATTCCCCTTAGGGATATTCCTCCTGATTGAGGACTCATAGTCGGACAGAATTAGTTTTTAATAGTGACTGAGTGTACAGATAATTTAATTTATCACACTTCTTTTATACTAACTTTTGTTATATGAAACTTCGGATTACGTGCATGTTTTTTGAAAAGTTAAGACACAAATAAAAAAAAAAAAAAATGTTTAAATTTTGATGTTGAATTCAAAAATATTTATTTGGTTGCCAGACCTAATAAACCTAAGAGATCAATTTTGAAGTATACCTTTCTTCTTACTAACTTCTGCTTAATAAATTATTCTTAGGAAAGAACCTTAAAAACTGGTGAAACATTTTATGCTAGAAAACAAGATATTAGAAACTTTTGAACTCATTCAATAAGGGAGAAAATTATTCAAAACGTAGCTCTGTAATTAAGCATTTTTTCTACTTGATCACACGAGGTTTATAAGAAATATCTCCTACAAGTTATATGGCCACTCTTTCTGTGTTGTCAGAATATGAAATTCATGTAGGGGAAAACAATGCATTTCGAGGTGAAGAAAATGACCTTAATTTGATAGTTTTTCTAAATAATAAATTTTTACATGCTATGTGTTTCTTTTTCTTAATCTAGGCAAAATAATATTCAACATGTAATAACAGCATAAAACCCACAAAAGAATTTTTACAGAGAAATTCATTTTTTAAATGCTGTTTAAATTTGCTTTTTGTATATAAAATATTACGGTAAATTAAATTGAACTGTTTTTAAGCATTTACAGTTAATCGAGTAACATACCGTATATACCCGCGTATAAGTCGACCCCCCACTTCCGAAATCGATCCAGAAACTTCAAAAAAATTTTTTTAAGTACTACATTTATTCAAAATCATCTGAGAAAAAAAGTAAATATACGATAAAAAATACCTTGGTAAATAAACAAAATCAAAATCCTTCAACGTCTGATTCATGGTCAGATTCGCCAAACATTTCATAGAACTCTTCTGACGTCATTGGCTCGTCATCATACATATTTTCAGTCTCGAACTCTGTATTGTTACAATCACTACTAGAGCCTTCATCGTCATTTTCACTTTCAAAAACAGCATCATCTTCCGTGCCGTCTAGTTCGTTGCTAATACAACATTTTTAAAATGATTTTATAATCATTTCAGAGGGTATTTCGTTCCAAGCATCTTTAACCCACTGAGCAATTAATGTAATATCAGGCTTTCTAATGTTGCCTCCCTTTGTAAATGTTGGTCGAACGGAACTAATCCACTCTGCCCAATATTTTTTTGGTTTTGTGCATTGGTGTACACACAAACCATGGCGATTCATAAATTTAGTGCACCAATGTGTTGATGCACGAAATGTGTTTGGAACACCATACTTTTCTTCTTTTGCAAGCTTCATTGCTTGTAAACGTATGCCAGTTATTGTGTGGGCTATTTTTTTTAAATTTTGATGTGTACGCCTGTTAACAAAAGTATTTCATGAATGAACAATAACTATTATAAAGACTTATATGTACGTAAAAACTATCTGCATTTCTCTTTTCTTGGCGTGTTGGCGAAACTTTTTATTGCTCGATATTGATCAGTTATTTGGGAGCCGAAAAGTCTTTGGTTTAATCAAAACTTACTCTAGTTAAAGTATGAAACTCTGTGATTAGTTCGTCACATAATTTAAGTCATGAAATTATTACTTCAAGTAAGTTACTTATTTGATAAGTCGTCCAATTTGAGTGCGGGACGAAAACAACTGCATTATATAAAGAAATTTTTGAACTTCCGATTCTTTTAATTTTTTATGGGCCCTCGTATAAGTCGACCTCCCCACTTTGAAGTCTTTTTTTTGTCCAAAATATCTCGACTTATACGCGGGTATATACGATAATATTTTTTATTGAAATAAAAATTATTTTTAATGTGCAAGATTACTTTTCTTATAATGTTGGGCTCATGGTTCTTAAATCCTCTTGTTCTTGAGTTCAGAAACCTTCGTTATTAAAATTATTTGAATAGTTTAACTTTTATATGGTTTCATATTTTTCATTTTAACTTTCATATGGTTGGCTTTTCAACCATATGAAAATTAAAATGAAAAATATTACTTTTACTTAAATTTTAATATATGTAATAATTGAATTTTTTTTTTAGAAATAGTTCAGTAGTTTTACTTTTAAACAATGGCTTTGCTTCAATATAACATACATGTTTAATTAGTTCATCAAAAAGTTGTATCGAATCAGAAACTAGCATACTTTTCCACTCTACAGTTTTACTGCAAACACAGTGAATTATCCCTTTAAAAATGATTAAGAAGTAGTTAATTCGTTTTTTTTCCAGTTATTGAAATTATAACTAAATCCTTAGATAAAAAGTTATTCAAAAACTAAAATAAAGAAATGCTTCAGTTACAAGTAGAATTTCAGATATTGTTATTTTCTAGTAACTAACAAAAAACGTTTAAAATCCTCTTTAATTTATTCCTGACCAACCTTTAATTGCTCTCTTGCCACCCCCTCCCTTCTGAGGCTGTTCTTTGACACCCCAGGGTTGATAGGGGATAAAGCAATTAAGCAAGGCTCTCCTCTCTTTAACTGCTTTTTCATACAGCTGGAGGTAAAAGAAAAGGAATTCAATGGTTTCCTGCTAGAATAGCCAGCGGCCAGTTAGAAAACTGCATAACAAAAGCCCACAAGCCCACTTAAAAACAGCATGCATTTTCAGGAAATCCAAAATAGCTATGACTTCCTGTAAAATTTTATGAGTAATAATTATTATGATTAAAAATGAAATTTCAAGTGGGAATGAAATTAATTTATGTAAAATCCAAGTTGTCAAAATTTAACTAGATTATTTGAAACTGTGCTTTTAATTCATCATTAAAGCAGTGATTGTGATAGTGCACACAAATGTTTTCTTAATCATAATAGAATATGGTACTTTTATTTTTTTTGTTGAAATAAAAGTTCGCCTTTAATTCTCCATTTAAAGTCATTATATGCAAAATTTTCTGCAGTGTTAAATTATTCATAAATTTTTCTCTATATATGATGAAAATTTACATGCGTTTTATAATCCTTATAATTTTGTAGAATTAAAAGAAGCAGTGTAGCCAGTATTCCCTTTCACCTCCCTTTGTTGGACTTATATGAGGGCACTTCCATTTGTCACGTAAATGTAAAAACGAAGTTACACATACATGTATATGTTTTTAATTATATTATTTTGATTGACTCTCTGTTCTACATACATATAGGATTTTAATTCAGCCAGAGCACAAAATGAAATGTGTTCCACTACTTAAACTTATTGTTCAATTATTTATTATTAATTTAATTTATCTTTTATTTTATCTTTATTCATGAATCTGCTTTGTGAAGCTGAAGAAAAAAGGGAAAAATATTAATTTTAACGTATCATATATATCGGTGTGGGTTTTTGTCAGTATGGGCTTTTATCAGCATTTGCTTATATCTAAGTGTGCTTTTATCAGTGTGGGCTTTTATCAATGCGCTTTCGTTGGTGTGTGTATTAGTCACGTGGGCAATTATCCCAGTGGAGTCTTTTTTCTGTGCTTTTGTCACGTGCGCTTTCGTCCAGTGGGCTTTTGTCTGGTCACCTGCACAATGTGCATCAAAATACTTGATCTGTGTAACTAAACATATAAATATTAAAAGAATTTTAATTTGAAGATATTCAAGGGAAAACTTTGGGTTCTTATGTGCTTTATCATATTCTTACAAAATATTTAGATTCAGGTTTCTTACTTTTAATCAGGAAAATTAATGTCTGTGTATAGAAATAAAATATGTCATGGTTTAATTTAATTAAAATTTTTCTTATAAAGTACCACTGGTTGCTTAATTTAATAATATTATATTCATAGGCCTCTTGGAAGATTAAATTACTTGCGAATTTGGCATGATAATTTTGGCAAAGGCAAATTCAAATCTTGGCTGTTAAACTTTGTAGTCATTCGAGATGTGCAGACTGGTGCTCGCTATGAATTTGTTTGCAACAGATGGTTAGCTGTTGAAAAAGAAGATGGACTGGTATGCTTAGTGTAAACAAATATGTATTTATGTATTAATCAAATGAATTATTTTTCACGTGCTGTATTAAATCATATGCAAGTTTTATATATTTTGAAGGAAGTATTTTTATTATCTCATTTGTAGAAATACTGTTGTATATCTAAAAGTAATGCCAACTTTCCTGATTTTCCATCGTATCTTCTGTCTTCCTTGTAAATCTCCCAATCTAACAGTTTTTTATTCATCTGAATTCAGAGCATCTCTTTCAGAAGTAGATCGAGATGAAATTTTTCTTTTTTAAGTGTAATGGGAAAAAGAAAATGCTATGAAGAAAATTTTGAAAAGAAATTCTTAAAATAAAAAGTGCTAAGTCTATGATATTATCATATCTTGATGAAATTTAAATTTTGCTAATTCCATTTGTCTTTCGCTTGAATTTTATTCTAAAAAAGTAATTTTTCTGGTTAATTTTTATCCAGTCTAAAGTGTTTTAATACATCACAGAGATTTGTAGAACATTTTATGAAGATTTAAGTAACATTTAAGATTTAAATATTGGTATTTTAAAATTTTGCTTTAAATTTGTGAATGATATATCATTAATTTTATCCACATTGTTATATGCTTATGATTAATTTTATTTTCATTGCATTTAAAAACATTTTGGTAATTAAAATGTTTCTTCCCTTAGGCTTATGTTAGTATGAATTTAAAAAAAAACTTCAAAATTAAATTAAAATAACCCCAAACATAGCTTAATATTTAATTCATTATGCTATATTTTAATTTAATATATTTTATAACAAAATCATGTTTTATGATTCAAATTATGCATTTGAATTGAGGTAAAATCTGTTATTTAACCTTACATTTGTATTGAGTCCTTTTGAAGTTATCTCATCAAGCAAAAACCTGCTGGTTTTCCATATTTCAAAATTTGTAACTATGTATCATAATTATGTTCCTTCATAAGACGTGTCAATGAATTGATAAATTTACCATTTAGAAAGTGAAGGACATTTAATGACCTAATATTTCTAAATTTATAATATTTTGTGAATCTATATGCCAAAAAAAGAAAAGAGGAACTCTATTTATTTCAGGGAGGCAAGAGAGTTTTACTTGCAATTTGTACCAACTTAGTATTTTATATTTTTCTTTTGAAATCACCAACAGTATCCCAAATCCAGTTTTTATGTTTTATAGCTATTAATCAACTATTTTTCTGAATTTAATTGTTTGAATTAAAATAGAAGTAATACTTTTGTTAATAGCTGCTTTCATATTGCACAGTATGCTTCTAAGTACTTGATCTCTATCTCTAAACATGTACATTATAAAAAGAATTTAATTTGAAGATATTGAAGGAAAAACTTTGGCTTCTTAAACGTGTTTTATCACATTCTTATTAAATATTTAGATTCATATTTTTGATTTTTAATCAGGAAAATTAATGTTTTATATACAGAAATAAAATATTGCATAGTTTAATTTCAGAACATCTAATATTTGCATCAGAAAGTATGTAATAGAAATCCATTTATGGATTTCTCTTTATAATCTACATTGCCTTCGATATCTTTGGTCAGATATCATATTTTAAAAGTATATATTGATAAAATATTTCTGATAATATCCTCATTTAAAAATATATGTTGATAAAATGCTAGAATGTTTCTAAACATAATAAATGGATGCTGATTTTATAATATATTGAATATGACTGGACGTGACTGCCATGATGCTCGTTTGTTTTGTTTTAATCTGACCTCCTCACCTTTATGTGCTTTGTGTTTGGACAAGTCATTGATGCTGCTCATCTAGATGTGTGCTCTACACTTAAGAGTTTGGACTGTATTGTAAAGAAGTATTGGAGAATCATTGCCTAAGGACCTGATGATCAATGGCCAGGCATTTTATAAATAAAAATAATATATTGAATATATTTATGCATAATAAATTCGATTGGCTTTCCAAAAAGAAGAAAAAAAATTTCCCCCTTACTTAAAACAAGTTTCATTTAAGTGTAATAGAGTGAGTTTTATATGCTTGATTTAAATGCTCTTGGAAAGTTCATACAATTATGAAGTGTAGATTTCATGAGCTGATGATTTGTAGTGCATAAATTTGTAGATTTTTTGTTTGCTTTTATTTTCCAGTTCTTGGTAATAAGTTTATCTACTTCCACATATATATTTTTAGATTGACAGACTGTTACCTGTAGCTGGAAAAGGAGAAGCTACTGAATTCAGTCACCTATTTCATCAGAAAACGCAGAAAAACTTGTCAGATGGTCACCTGTGGTTCTCTATTTTCATGAGACCACCAAAGAGTCGTTTCACAAGGGCTCAACGAGTGACTTGCTGTTTTGCTATGTTGTTTTTATCAATGTTAGTCAATGCTATGTGGTACGGAAGAGTGCCTTCCAAACCTTCTGGATCTGCATTTAGTCTAGGACCACTCTCACTTAGTCCTGAACAGGTACACTTTATGTTTAATTTTAAAATATGAGTGAAATTAAATTTGTTGCCTTCATAAAATATTTATAATACTATACATTCTTAATTAACTATTGGTTATGCCTAGTTATGTAAATTTTTGTGATATTTTGCTATTTTTTTATGTGTGTCATTATGTAATTTTTATTTTACATTACGTTAAAATTTAAACGTATTTTATGTCAGTCACAAAGTATTTCAAAAGTAGAAATATAGTGTCAGTACAATAAACTAATTAGTCCTTAGTTTTCTATCAAAATGTATGTACTTCCTGTTACAGAAATGTTTTAAATGATGCAATTACTCATGCTTTCACATTTTTAAAGTAATTCAGTTTTGTTAAAATTACATATCTTTTATATGTTCCTTTTGTCTCTATACTTTGTAAAACATGAAATACAAAAAATCTAACTTCCATGCAACAAAAATTGGTCAAGAGATTTACATATAATATCTGCAGTTTTCATGTATATTGAGCAGTGCCAAAAAATCAAATTTTATCTTCCTGCTTGAGGATAGTTAAAAATTAATCCAGGTTGTTTTTATTTCTATTTAAGGTCATTCAATATTACTCCTTTGTGATTTAATAATGTGTAACGTTTTTTATTTCATAATTAATAACTGTTTGGTGTTGATTATGGAATGAAATACTAACTTGGCCTAAATTTTCAAACAATGTCACAATAAAAGATTTTTCAAATGTGTGGTTTCTGCATAGTGGTGCTGCAGCTCATAAATCTGCAGGGGCATGAATTTTCATTAAAAGTACATTTGGAGCTTATATTATTAAATATGAGTTCAGTGAAATAGCTACCATGATCACCTGACTTAAATTCATTAGATATTTTCTTTGGGGTGTTTTGAAAAATTAAGTTTATGAAAGGGAATGAACAAGTGTTACAAACTGGCTCAATCATGCATTATGATTGAGCATGTATAACATCAGTTATGATAGAGTTCAAGAACACTTTATTTTACATAAATAATTATGCACAGCAGTTGAGTGTAGACATTTCAAGCAAGTTTTACGCTAGCATCATTCAGTTAGCAGAACCTTTTTAACCTTTACTTTGTCTTAGAATTTCTCATTTTATTTCTTTGTTGCATATAAAGCAAGAGACATAAAATTGGTGAAAGCTTCTGGTTCATAAAGATCTTAAATAACAATGGCATATAACCAGGAAAATTTGGAATTCTATTTCAGCTTGGGATGAATAATAGTTTTTAAGCAGAAGATAAACATTTATAAATAGCTCAAAGAGTACTCAGAGATAAGTCGATATCTTTAACATGCAGTATACATTATAGATCATAAAAATCACTAGCTGAGAAAAGTGGAAAATGATAATCTCTCATTGGTTAATTTAATTGAAGAAAAGTTACAACTTTGAATTGATTTCAGGCTTTAGCATAACCCTAAGTGTATACTTTTGTGCTGGAGGTCAAGTCTAATATTTTGGGAAATTTAAACAAACACTGTAGCTGCAGTATGCCTGAAAACTGCTGTTAGGAATTTAACAATGCATATTTCAAAAACTTAAAACATATGTATTTTTATATATGTATAACTAACTTTGAGTGAATGAGGTTCACATTATTCAATACTTCCTCTTAGTTTAAATAAGCAAATTTAAGTCATAAGTTTAATTATTTGTTTTAAAATGTATTTATTTTATGTACACTTATGCTTAAATGTTTCAAATTTAGTATGAAAATCTAAAAGTGATTATTTCAATTTATATAATAAATGTATGATGCTGTCATGATGCAATTTATGTATTCCTCGTTTTTTTTTTTTTTTTTATAATATTTGGTTTAGCATCAATGATAATGTAGAATTTTTTATTGCGTCTATAAAATTCTTTTGCATGGGTCTAAAACATAGAAATAGTTTTAAAATTAAAATTTTTTCATTTAGATTGGTGTTGGAGTGATGGCTAATTTTATTGTGTTTCCTCCTACTTTTCTGATGATCACTTTATTCAGAAAATCCCGCCTTCGCAAGCTCAGACCATCACATATTACTGAAGCTATAAAAAAGCAGCGTGAGTCTTTATGTACTATACCTATTCTATGTCAGATATGATGTTATTGGTAATTTCATTTAAAGGTATATATCTTTCTAGCTGCTGTTTGATTAAACACTTGAAAATGCTTGATCTGCTTAGCAATGTGTCTTTCTTCTGGGGAGGTTAAATTTAAGGCATTTGACATTAAATTTAACATTACTCATTTATTATTTGCATACTCCTGAAAATGCTTCATAAAGTTTTTCTAAAATTTAAAATATAAGTATTTTTCTCCCTGCACTGTTAAAAAAATAGAAAAGATAAAGGAACGGTATATTAAGAGGAAAATGTTTTACAAGGGACACTCTGAAAGTTTTTAGAATTTGTCTTTAAATAAACAAATATAAAAGTAATTCCAAATATATTTTCTTAATACAGTTTCAAGCTGCTTAAGTACTGCTCCCATTTTTTGTAAAAAAAATTTTTAATGTTTGTTGGTTCACTATTTAGAGCAGCGTTTCCCAACGTAAGGCCCACACCCCACAAGGGGGCAATGCGACTGTTAAGGGGGGCAATTCGAAAATGGACTCTCCAGAGTTTAAGGGTACAAAGGAAGTCAAAAGTTTTCGAAATTATATTTTTTATTCCCCAAAATAAAGAAAATATAAGTGATGCATACGTAAAAAGATTTTAAATTGTGGCGCATTTTAAATATTTTATAAAGAATTTTCGCTGTAGACATGTACATTTAAATGCTTTTAAAGGGCATGTACATTTAAATGCTTTTAAAGGGCATTTAAATAACTGACACATTATGCTTTCCAGACGTTTTTTGCACGTTTCAGCCAACGAATTTTACTTTTTACTGTAGAAATGGCAATCAGTATATTATTTTTTCCTTGAGTGGCAACAGCAGCTGCTTTCAGCTTTGTTTATATTGATCTTATATTTCTTTCTTTCAGCCCTTAGTGAAATGAGGGGTGCAAGCAAGAAAAAAAGTTCTTTGGTATTCGGAGGTATATTTAAAATTTGGTTTCGTACCCAGTCGATAAATGGTCACCTTTTGCCTTTTATGCCAATAATGCCTGACCAACGAATCAATGAAACTCGGTCATCTTGAGACACATTTTAAGATGAAACATAATGCTGATATTAATTCAGATTTGAATTATTTTCACACTTTAATATTACTCTTTTTTTTTCAAAAATTTTTAAGTCTCTACTTACTGCTCATAATGCAACTGTTAATCGTGCTCTTGAGGCTATTTATCAAATTTCGTTACTCATAGCTTAATCTGGGAAAAGCTGTACTATAGGGGAGAATTTAATCAAACCATCAATATCAGCATTTAAAACTGTTCTAGAAAAAGATGACATTAAAGCTATGCCAATAAGTAACAATGAAATGTGTGAGGATATTGAAATACAACTTGTTGAAAAGCTGAAAACAAGAAAATTTTTGATGCAAATGGATGAACGAACTTTGCGAGACAGTGAGACCATACTTGTTACTTATGTAAGATATATTCTTAAAGGGGATTTTGCCGAAGAAATGTTCTTCTGTAAATCATTAGAAAGTACCACTACCTCCAAAGATATTTATAGTAAGCTAAAAAATTACTTAGATATAAAAAATATACCAATAAAAATATAATACATCTTGTACTGCAGATGGTGCTCAAAATAGGATGGTTGAAAAATAAAATAAATCACGGAATTTGAAAAAAGGTTGCTTAAAATTGATAAAAGATGAGAATCCAGAAATACATCTTGTGCATTGTGTTATTATAGAGAAAACCTCAGCTAAAAACAATTCTCCTGTTTTAAATGAAGTAATAAATACAGTTATAAAGTGTATGTTATAAAGTGTATAAGTTTATATAGCTATTAAAGCTAGGGCCAAATGTGAATATCTTTTCAAGTTATTTTATGAAGAACAAAATGAAGACTATATGAGACTTTTACTTCACACTGAAGTAAGAAGGCTGTCGAAAGGGAACTGCATGGAAAGATTTACGGAACTATTTGATACTCTTAGTCATTTTTTAAGTGATGAACCTGAAATGAGAAATTCGTTAACAGATGATAACAAGCCATTTGTGAGTTATTTAGCCGATATCTGTGAAAAATTAAATATATTAAATAAACAACTTCAAGGAGCAAATAAAACTTATGTCGATGCAAAAGCAAAGATATTCGGTTTCATTATCTTTGTTGAATTAAGTCAGGCATATACTATTTACCACAAAAATTTTGAAAAGTTTCATTGGCTCTAAAAGTGTGACGTGACGGATACCGCTATATTTGTTATTGTCGATCATCTGAAAAATTTATCGGTTGATTTTATTACTGAAATAAAATTGATTTCCCAACTTGGATGATGCAGCCAATGCTAGTGGATTTGGCTGATATTTCAAATATGCAGTAAAAAAGAAGATCTTGCAGAAATGCAAAATGATGAGTCAATTAAATCTTTATAAAATCTCTTTGCAGCAAATATCAAGCGCAAGGAACACACTAAATTTAAATAATACAAATTACTAATACTTAAAATATAATATTTAAAAAAAACTTTCACTAAAATGAGTTTGTTCTTGAATTTCAGTTTTCCATGTTTTGAAAGTTCACTTACTTTATTTGCTCACAAAATTCATAGTCATTTCTTCCTAAAAGCTATCATTCAAGTTTCTTTCGTGAACATTTCAATTTTTAAATATTAAAAATTTTGCATATGCTAGGGGAAGCTTAATAATTTTAGAGAGGATTAAGTGGGGCATAGCATAAAAAAGGTTGGGAAACACTGATTTAGAGTATCTAAATAATTTGTTTTTAAGTTAACTGATTGTCTTCTTTTAATATATGCTTTATGGACATGATGGTTTGAACATCTCAGGCAGTGGCTTGGCCAGTAATCTGAATCTTACGAGATTAAGAAATAATACCATCCCACAGATCCAAAAGTCATTTTGCATCTGGAATATTGATTTCTCCCAGATTCATTGAAATAATATAAACTGTGGCTTAAGAAGGAGGAAATTTTGCAAAAACAAGCACAAACATTTAAGACACTTGTTCACTTAGTTCTACGTTAAAGGCATAAAGGATCATGATATGAAAATGTGAGAACTGAGTTCCACAGTATTTTGCAATTAAATGTCAACTAGACAAAATCAAAATGGTCAAACAGTGTTTTCCAAGTATAGCTGTTAGTAAGTTCTTTGTACATCACACTACTGAATGTATTTTTGGCATTAAACATAAAGTATTTTGAATAGTAGGTGTTTTATATACAGGATCCTCAAAACTTTGAAATTTATTTATATAATAAAAAAATGCTTTTAGCATAGAATTGCCTCAAGTTTTGATTGTAAGTAGTGTAGACTTCTTTTCATATTTAGGTCATGATTGAAAAGATTATCAGTTGTTCTTTCTCTTCATAAATATATAATATAATATATTTATAGTATTGTTACTTGATATTTGTAGCAATGCAACAAAGACTTCCACGAATAAGAGTAAATTTAGTTTCAGTTTTACAGTAAGTCTGTTTTTTATGTTTTTAAATTCAGTTACTCTACTTTCTAGTAGGAAAAATACACATTGTGAAACAAAATAAAAAGAATTCAGAAGTTTTCTTCAGAATTGCAGTGCTCATGCTTAGAAACAATCTGCAGTGAAAGAGTAAATGAAATAGACAATACTTTTTTGCTGATGCATGTAATATTATTGACTTTTATCTTTTATTATAAATTTATTATTTTATGTCAATGTATTTTGAACTTATGATACCTATCTCCTTGTATGATGTATAAATTTTAGTCAATTACATATTTTCTTTCTCAAGTTAATGTTCTGTTATAAATTATTTTCATGCAATTTTTATTCTTTGGTAAAGTGTATCAAATTATTTTTTAAAAAAATCTCTTTTTATAGAGGCATCAAAGAAAAAGCTTTCTACATTTTCTCGGCCTAGTTCAGCTCATTCAGGAACAACACTTATACTTGATGACATTTCTCAAGATGATGAATCCCGTAGAGAAAATCGACGTACAAATCAGAAAAAAAAGAAGAAGTTCCTTTTCCCATGGTGGTGTCGTATCATTGCTTGGATATTGGCCATTGCGAGTATTGTAGTGTCTTGCTTCTTCCTTTGGGCTTATGGTGTCCAGTTTGGAGATGAGAAAACAAAGAAATGGATTACATCACTCTTGATTTCATTTTTCAGTTCAATATTAATAACCCAGCCTATAAAGGTAAAATTTACATCTTTACGTTTTGTGCTTTTTTTTGCAAAAGTTTTTCAGGTGAATACAAATCTTTTGTGAATCTTCAAGTGGTGAAGTGAATCATCTTCTGTATAAATTTGTGTACAGTTCTATAATTTGAAAACTAATTTTTTAGGTGTTCCTGTTAGCCATGTTTTTCTCTGCCATTTTCAAAACTGTTGATACAGATGATGAGGATGAAGAAGATGAAGAGCCACCTGAACTTGCTTCAGATGAAGAGTGGCTACATAAAGGTTTATAATTATTTTTTAAATTAAAAATTTCTGCCAGCTGTTATACCAATAATATTTATTATGCAGTAAAAGTAAACAATAATGGGTAAATGTGACATTAATGAAATAAGACCGCTGCTTTGACAAAGTCTATTAACGAGAGGGCTCTTGTTGCCATTTAAATAAGGAAGTACTTTTTGTACTTTTGATACCAAATATATTTCTTTTTGCATTATTTTTTACAATTTTCAATATTCAAAAGTATGGAAAATTACAAAAGTTATCCTAAATTTGTTAAAAAATCTTTGTAGATAAAAGTTATTGAAAGCTGATAATTTATAAAATTCATCTTATATGTCTGAGTGCATATTATATAATTTCATAAAGTTTTCTGGAGTTACTCTCAATGCTGAAATTGTTAAAAAATAAGATTTTTAAGACCTTTTTTAAAAAAAAAATTAAATAAGGGAAGACATTTTCCAAATTAAATAAGTATGGAAAATTTATTTTAAAAATTAAAATAAATTTTAAAAATTAAATAAGTATGGAAAATTTATTTTAAAAATTAAAATAAATTTTAAAAATTAAATA